CCTTCCCCCCCCCCCCCCCCCCCCTCTCTCTCTCTCTCTCTCTCACACCCAAAAAAAAAAAGAACAAAAAGAACAAGAAATCAAAGGGGAACAAAAACGTCTGATGTATAATCACAGATCAAAATTTTCAGCCCCTTCTACACCCCCTCCCACCCAAAAAAAAAATGAAACAAAAAGAAATAAAGGGAAAAAAGACAACCCCATAACAAAAAGCAGTAGATCCTAGAGGACCAAGACGCTGTTCCTAGAATACTGAAAGAGTTAATACAGAAATTTACAGCATACCTCAGACACTAGCCTGCTTCTTCCTTCACTGGCAGCAGCCAAAGTTCGCATGGAATAAGGAATCCCAAAAGCACCATCAACCTGTCTCTCCAATGGAATTGCTGGCCTTGAGTGCGGCAGATGATGCCCCTGGTTAGCAGCTCCAGATGAAATTGCCGCCACTTGTGAGGAAGCAGACGGACCTGATGGTATTGGGGAATAATTGCTGTTATGGGCCACAGAATCAGAAGTAGCAGAGGACAACAAAGATCGCCGAACAAATTCCGACAGTCTGCGTGGGTATTGCGGGGCACTGCGGTGAGAAACCCAGTTAGGAGCAGATGATGAATGTCTTCCTGAAACCGAGCCAGTTCGGGAAGTGGAAGCAATATTTCCAGCAACACTTGGGTTTCCACCAGCAAGACTCCAGTTAATTGGATTTTGAGCTGAATTTCTCATCTCTGTCGCAGGCACAAAAATAGGATGTTCCAACAAGTTTCTCGGTATGCTTCTTGAGTTGGACTCAAGTGGGCCATCTCTTTCCGCAGCAGCCACATAACTCGAACTGCCATGTCTCAAGGCGGAACCCCCATTCCACCTAGATGATTGCAGATTTCGTCTCAAAGCAGGAACGCGCACAACAGCAGACTGACCTTGTGGATTTCTAACATCTGCTGGTGCTGACCTCAAGTCCGAAGAATTACTAAGATGGAGTCTTGGTATGTGGTGGGAAGATGGAACATTTGAATGCCCAGAAGCATTCTCTGTTGGAAACACATTACTGGTGGTGGAATCTTGTTGATGTGAAACATTAATCCTTAAGCGGAAATTCCGCCGGGAACTTTCTGCACTTCCTGCTGGATTCAAAGTAAGAGAGCTTTCAGGTGCTGCTCCTCCAACACCTAGTCCAAGATTGGGAGGGTTTACCTGCTCTGAAGGACTAATAAATGTGCTTCCTGATGACATAGGTATACTTAAGCTGCTGCCAGCATTAAAGTGAGGAGTGGCACTATGCCATCCAATTCCTCCTGAAGGCTGGAAATAGTTTGAACAGCCACTCCCAGAAGATTGTCCAACATTTCCTTCAATAGCTTTTCTTTTACAGGATAAGCGCCGACCCTCAAAGGAACAACCCATGCGCTCATCAATTTCCTCCACCAAATATCCACCACTTCCAGAAGGTAACTCAGGAGGATCAGAAGAACTAGTAACAGATGGAACTTGCATGTTATCTGACCCACCAGTAGGACATCCTAAGACTTGGCAATCATTACCCCCAGGTTCCATAGATGCTGAATTTATGTTAAGGTCCTGGGGAATAGAATTAGATCTAGAAGTTTGCAAGAAAAAAGGCCCATTCGCAATCTGATTGGCACTTGGATTTAAATTAGCATTACTGGGTGAAAGAATATTAGCTGGATCATGTTGCTGTCCTTCCAATATGGGGCCAGCTCCACCACAAGCTCTCATTGATGATGACCATCCGTGTTCTGTTTTCTGCTCATTATGACTGACCTGGCTTTGCATTGTACTAGAGCTGGGCTCACCTATCCATCCACTGAAGTTCTGCCCTTCTTCACTAATAGAATTCATATAGGTAATGCTTGTGTCACCAGGTGACATTGCATAATCTGACAGGCGGTTTGGTGCAGAACTCCGAATATTATTCCAGCAAATCTGCTGGTCTAAACCAGTATCACTTGACGTGGAGCCATGATCAAAGCCTAAGGTTTCAGGCAAGGAACCGAGAGCACCCCTTGGCCCTTGCATTGGGACTATGAACCACTATTCAAAAATTCTAAACAAGTTGGAACCAAAAATTCTAACGCAAACAGTACGCTATGTCTAGGAGTTCTTTGGCTGCTCTGAAATCATAAAGGCACAAAAATTACAATGTCATTTTCTGAAAATGCAAAAATCGTATATCATACATGAATATGACATGCAAATTCAATCAAGATATGCTGTTAATAACGAAAAGATGCAAATGCAAATGTGAGTGCAATTGTCTAACCATCTATGATTTCTCAAGTATTAACTGTGAAACAATGACCTTAACCTTAAGTATTTCTCAGGTTCCAACAAGCTACTTCAAATGCAGTCCAAATACTGAGAAAATGATTTGTCTCCATGAGGGGAAGGAGAGGGAAGTAAAGGGCATAATATGATTTTTCCCAAAAAACAAGCGAAACAACCAATCTGATTGTAAGAAGCAAAATGCAGAATAGATGCTACACCTTCAGAGACCACAGAACAACAATTAACAACTGCCAACAAGTTAGTGGTCAGTGAAACCTTATGCCATCTCAAGTGGAATCTCTTACAAACCACACATCCCAGATGCTTGAGAACTGACATGGCTGCAAGAATCTTCTCTAGACCATTTCGATCTAATGTGTGCTAGGTAGACCATTTAGCTCTATTGCAAGGTAGGTTCGGCAATGAATGATGCATAGAGTCTTTCGCCACAGGTCAGCCAAGAACTACACTTGCAATTCTCTCCCACTACAAAACATAGCCACCTGACAAGCTGCTTATAGGCGGCCCTGTACTCCTCCTGCTAGCAGCAACAGCATCTTTCTAACAATACCCGTCATCATATCGCCCATTTCAGGTACAAAAAATCTGGTTTTCAAGTAGCACAGGGGTTCATCTAATAAGTCATTATCATGAAAGCACCTTATTAATTTCCTAGGAGGCACATTACCATTTACCACCTCAAGTCCAACTATTGTACTGAATTCAATCTGTTAACTGCAATTCGGTTGATACCCGCCACAACTTTAGGCACCAACAAAGTAATATATAACCTGCCCAACAGATTTAAGCCCCAACAAGAACACACAAGTTTTGTACCATCCCACCCTTTACGCCGAAGTCAAGACAGAAAGAAGCACCACCGACCGCACAAAATAACTCAAGGTCACAAATTTATGCCAAAACCAAGAACAAATTAGACAACTGCCCATCCACCAACCCCCCCCCCCCCCAAAAAAAAAAAAAATTACCACGCCTGTACGGATGTGGATAGAAGATGAAGTATGTTCGTAGAAATAGCTCTCTGAAAAATCACTACATGTTTGGTGAATGTAGCAAAGTCATCAGACACATTTCAGGCTCAAATCAGCTTTATATTAGACGATCTAATGAGCCTAACAACTGCTAGAAGTAAAGTTCCAATCAGAGGTCCATATCTCTCCATCCATGCTACAGAAATAATTTTTTTTTTTAAAAAAAACCCAGGAAAAAAATCTAAAAAATTAAAATCTTTGCAGATGAAAACCAAGCATAAAATCAAAGATTCTCCAAAATAAAAATAAAAATTCCAGAAACCCAAAATACCATAATCTGAAATCGATAAAGCTACAACAAAATCTGAAAACTTACAAGCTAAATCGTAGCAGATTGAGCTGTGGATCTACGGCCACAACCTGAAAACAAAACAAAAAAAAACATAAACCGACTTTCAGAAATGATCAAAAGAATCACAGCTCCCTCTTTCTCTTTCTCGTTCTCTCTTTCTTTAGAGGGAAAAAATAAGGAAGGGACTCAGAATAGACGAACCTCGCCGATCAACGGAAGGAACAGAGATAAAAAAACACGAGAGAGGAAGAGAGAGGATGAGATGAGAATGAAATGGTGGGTGTGTGAATGGGGTGAGAGGGGAGGTGGGGCGGATTAAAGATGGCAGTAATCTCCTTTAATTTACAAAACGCCCCCCCTAGACCCCAGACATAGACAAATGAAGAGAGAGAGAAAGCTGATGGTAAAAGTCGTAAGGCTCTTAGCAGTTTCCAAACACACACACGCAGAGAGAGAGAGAGAGAGAGAGTTGAATAAAGAAAAGCGCAACTAAGCGAAAGGTGTCCTGTTGGGTCGCTCACCAAATGGCCCTGTCTCTCCGTCTTTCGACTCTCTCTCTCTCCGCTCTCGTTTTCTTCTTTGCGTAATCACGCCAAGCACCTGTAGGCTTTTGGTGTGTCCTCCTTCGCATCACATGCCTGTCTTTGTACTCTTTTCAATTTAACGTCTCTCTCTCTCTCTTCGTTTTGGTAATTTACCACGCTCGTAGTTTTCAGAGTGTTTGGTGACAGATAGGATCATATCCTCTACCATAATTAGGTTTCTACCTTTTTTTTTTTTGTAATAAATTACTTTCTCATTTATGTATTTTTGCTCCTTTTTCTTTTGTCAAGACTATAGCTTAAAATTGATTACATAGACATGAAAAATGCAATTGATACTGTTAACTTGGAAAGAAACCAAATCAATATTACATAACTAACATAAAAATAATTATTATTATAATAATTTCAAGTTTCAGAGCCAACCTTTCATCCTTTTTTTCTGGTAGTTCGCAAGGCATAGTCCCTTGATCTAATTTCTTGTATTTATTTTGTATTAATAACATTTCAACCTTGTTGTTATATAAAAGAAATCACGATAAAACAAACATCTCTTTAGAAGAAAAAAACACACGTAAAATATAAACTATAAAAGAAGTTGTTTTATTCAAGGCTTAGAGTCCCTACTTTTTAAAATTAGTACTCTCTTGATTTGAATTGGAAAAATGGACTTTAAACTCCAACCCTTTTGCCAATTGGAAAAGTTTTGAGTATAAAATTTATAAAAAAAGACTTTTTTGTTAACTTACAATGGATTTGGTGGGAAAAAAAAATCGAAGTCATTGAAAGTATGTAATTTATGGCCTACATCAACAAAAATAGTAAAACCAACATTTTTTATTTGACAAGAAACTTATGAAAATGAAAATTATGGTTATTCAACTCTTAGGGATGATTTAGTAATTAAGTCTGACTCTTAGTAATTGAGAGGTGTCAGGTATAATTTCTACTCATATTCCTTAGAAGCTAATCACCATTGTCCTTTTTAAAAATATATTCTAATTCAATTTAAGTCACAGTAATAAACCGCAGAACTCGAGAGAATAGTTGATAACAAAAAAAAAATTGAGTTATGAAGTTTATGAAATAACAAACATTGTTACTTTTTCAAAATTAGACGATCACTTTCCAAGTCACCCCTATGATTAACATAAAGTGGAATATGATGCTCATGCATGGCTACTTCTATACCATAGTATCTTCTTGTTTATACAATTTTGATCTTCCATATATGGATTTGCATTCCCTCAATGGTTAGAAAAATTATCCGACTCAGCTTCATATATGTTTTTGGGTAGGGGGAATAATACATGTGTGCTTATGCTGATTATTATCCATTGACAAGCACAACATAGGCACATGTAATGATTAAAAAGTTGGTGTTTATACATAGGATTTACATCTAATTCAGTATGCTTGTTCTGAACAGTAAAATCACACACGTATTCGTGGATCTCCACATATTTATGATAAATCTCACTTAAATTCATGTCAGGTGATCTGTCATTAAGAAAAATTTAAGAAATGTATTTATTTATTGGGGGGAAAAAAGAAAAAATATATCAAAAAATTGAGAAAAAATATTCTAAAATCTAAATGCATTTTTTTTTTGGTCTGGATTAAGAGGGTGCGGCGACCAGTAAGTAGTAACCTCCTTAAATGTGACTATAAGAGTCCCTCACTGTAGAATGTCGGGTTTAAGCCAAAATTACTAATCTAGAATGACAGTCCGTCACTACAGTACTACCAAAATCAAGTAGAAAACTATGTTGCTCTTGTAAATTAAACTCTGCTTAATAATTGGTGATGCACAAAACGATTTTGTGCAAGATCAACAGTCAAGTGTGTGATAAGGTGTAAATAATGGACAATGAATAAAGTAATCAATGGCAGTAATATAAATATTAAGTCAACACACAGATATATAGTAATTTGGTCTGGATGACTTACTCCATTCTGAAAAACGGCAATAGTGGGCGAGGGCCCTTTATTGATGAAATAAGATAAACGGGGGAGAGAGCAATAAGTAGCTCCAAAAAAAATACAATAGTCAAGAGAGAGAAATTGTNAATTAGACGATCACTTTCCAAGTCACCCCTATGATTAACATAAAGTGGAATATGATGCTCATGCATGGCTACTTCTATACCATAGTATCTTCTTGTTTATACAATTTTGATCTTCCATATATGGATTTGCATTCCCTCAATGGTTAGAAAAATTATCCGACTCAGCTTCATATATGTTTTTGGGTAGGGGGAATAATACATGTGTGCTTATGCTGATTATTATCCATTGACAAGCACAACATAGGCACATGTAATGATTAAAAAGTTGGTGTTTATACATAGGATTTACATCTAATTCAGTATGCTTGTTCTGAACAGTAAAATCACACACGTATTCGTGGATCTCCACATATTTATGATAAATCTCACTTAAATTCATGTCAGGTGATCTGTCATTAAGAAAAATTTAAGAAATGTATTTATTTATTGGGGGGAAAAAAGAAAAAATATATCAAAAAATTGAGAAAAAATATTCTAAAATCTAAATGCATTTTTTTTTTGGTCTGGATTAAGAGGGTGCGGCGACCAGTAAGTAGTAACCTCCTTAAATGTGACTATAAGAGTCCCTCACTGTAGAATGTCGGGTTTAAGCCAAAATTACTAATCTAGAATGACAGTCCGTCACTACAGTACTACCAAAATCAAGTAGAAAACTATGTTGCTCTTGTAAATTAAACTCTGCTTAATAATTGGTGATGCACAAAACGATTTTGTGCAAGATCAACAGTCAAGTGTGTGATAAGGTGTAAATAATGGACAATGAATAAAGTAATCAATGGCAGTAATATAAATATTAAGTCAACACACAGATATATAGTAATTTGGTCTGGATGACTTACTCCATTCTGAAAAACGGCAATAGTGGGCGAGGGCCCTTTATTGATGAAATAAGATAAACGGGGGAGAGAGCAATAAGTAGCTCCAAAAAAAATACAATAGTCAAGAGAGAGAAATTGTGTGTGTAGAGACGTGTGGTGAGATGCCAAGATGTGTCATTTTATATAGAGAGGACTTACAATTTATAAGTATGGTAAGGCGGTGACGTGAGTGTGAGGGTACTACTTCTTTGAGGAGGATAGTCACAAAATATGAGTACAATTAAGAAAGTCTTGACTCTCGAAGGTGGGTATCCCGATAATCTCTCTCTCACGTGCTCTTATCTTCCTGAGTTCTTTGGATCTTGGACTGAGTCGGATTGATGAACCGGACTTGGCCAACCCTTATAGCGGATCTGGACTTGTTTGATTTACTGGGTCTAGCCCAATTAGATTTAAGCTCGTCAATAATCACGTAAGAATCAAAGACGAATTTAAACAGATACGACTTACCACTAAACTATCAGATCGGATGGTAATCCGAATACATTGACTAGGTGCTTGGTCATGCATATAAAGCTTTGTGCAAGTGTTTAATGGTCCAACTCCTTGCCAATCTTTTCTCTCTTTAAGATAATGTTCATTATCTCATTCAGTGGCTTCTTATTCTTTCACACTTTGGTCCTATTTATCCCTTAAGAAACATTGTTTTCTTCTCTCCTTCCAAAGTTGGTTGCTTTGCTTTTTGTCATTGTTATTTTATTTTATTTGGTTAGGCCACAAAGAGGGCAAGCTTCCAATATCTCCATATGGACTACTTGAACAACCCTTGCGTAATAGCCGCTTAATGATTCAATGAAACCCCTTCCGACAAGTAATTATTGAAATTTTTCCATACCTATGAGGTCACACAAGGTTCATTCGGGAACATCTTATAAAATTAGAACAATACGAGAATGATTACCGTGATTCTTGCACAAGAATAACATGCACAACACAGAGAAATGAGTTCATACATGGCTAGTGGCTAGTATGGAAAAAACTTATATAACTCCAATTTTAAGATGCCAAAAGGTAGGTAAATGTCGTGTTTGTATTTTGAACCATACCCATATCCTTATTCAGGTCATTGCCCCCGGTCCTCAACTTCATCTTTTTAATTAAAAATATATATTTGACTATACTTATATATTGTCTAAGCAAAAAAATTGGTTTCTATTTGAACATACAATATTGATATTCAGGAATATTCAATGTATTGATATCTGATAGTCTAGATGCACGGAAAAAATGTCACATGGTAGAATCTGAACGAAGGAGGGAGATAATCAATCATAGCTACATTCAAAAAAGAAGAATAATTAATTGGAGATTACTAGTCGCTAACCATCGATAGAAGCAAAATTGTTGAAGACAGTAGCTATAAAAGGGTATGCAGTATAAAAGATGAAGGATACACTCAAACTTCCACAAGTCCCACGCTCTGAGCATTTTTAAGAGTAGTTTTAGATTAGTTTTTTATGAGATAATTATTACTACAATCAAGACTATTTATTCAATCTTTATGTAACCGAAGTGTTTTCGATTGAATTAATAAATGAATCATATTTTATTAGTTTGTATTTGTTCATTATTTCTCATCCATGAAAGTCTTAAAATAAGCATTTGAACTCTTTACAAACAGTCACATGAAAACTGCCTGTCGATTGAGATTTCTCTGTCGATTTCAACAGATTTTAGAGCAACAATTGCATATTTGAAATTAACCTTTACATGATTTATATAAGACAGAAGGACTACATATGTGAAGGAGGATTAGATGGGTACTCTAAGAAGTCCGAATACCTCCTACTT